GCTAGAAAAAAAAATATCATATGCAATTTTGGTATACACGGTAGGTCTGTAGACACAAAGCACAATTAAATCAAGAGGGTGCGTGATCTGAGCACCACCTCCCTCCTTTCACCTCCCTCCTCCCTTCTTTCCTTTCCTTAAATTATGAAACATGCAAAAATTACTTAATCTGAATAAACTAAGCAAGTCCAACAAATCATCCTTAACATTAACCTCAGTAAAAATCATAACATCAAAAAGATTAACAATACTATTACTAAACATAATACAAAAATTATCCCAGTTAATTCTTATGGATCTAATATTTAAATGCAATATAGTAATTCCAGTTTGATATTTGTTCTTTATGCAAGAGTTTTCAAAAAGTTTAACATCTTTGTGGTTAAAGGTAATATGTTCCTCTATTTCTAATATATCAAATGGCTGCATTCAATTTTATTATACCAAAGAAACAAAGTGAGAAAACAAATATCTTTCACTTTATTTTTCCTAGCTGAGACGTTTCAGTGATAGAGATCACATCTTGATCATCAGTCTTTCTCACATTGACGCTGCCATATTTGTACCAAATGTATTTATAACCAAGATCCTTTGCCTTCTTTTTTACCTCTTTGAGTAAGTTTCTGAAATGAGGAGTTAGGTTCTCACTTACGTATATTCGGTCGCTATTCAATCCGGTCACCTGGGAGTTAGTCACCACTTTCTTCCTCTCGGCAAACACCTCATCCCTCTTCTTCCTCCGAGCAAACTGGACAATAATGGTTGCCGGTCGGGTAGCACCTCTGGTCTTTGGCAGGCGATGCGCAGCCTCGATGTCATTCTTCTCTAGGTTCACTCCAAGTCCCTTGGCCACATTAACAACAATTTCTTCCACATCTTCACCCTTCTTCTCAGCAACTTCACTTATTTCTAAATTTCTATTACGTCCATATTGCTCCAGTTGTATCACACGAGCCTGAAGTTCTCCAATTTGTTTGTTCTTCTCTTGTATAATATTTTGCAACTTAATCACCTCTTTTTCTAATGCTGGAATGAATTTCAATTGTTCTTTAATATCTTCATATTTTTCATCAATATGTGAATGTGAATTCAAATGTTCTTGTGGAAAATCTACAGCTGAAACTATGCTACGTTTACAGTTCATCAGGGGATTGCGAGACCCTGTGATAAGAACGAAACTACAGTTGGCTCTCGATAGTCCGACAGTTACGGGACCGGGGGGGTGTCGGATTACCAAAAACGTCGGATTACCAAAGGTTAGCTTTATTTCACTGAATTTAACTGCATACGTTAAGAAAACCCAGTTTTTAATACATATCACGTACTATTTAACTGTTATAGGTATAAACTAATCAACTTAGGCATTACATATTACAAAAAAGAAAGATTTATTGCATATAAAAATACAAAAATCAGTACAGTATAAATCAAAACTAAAATACAATGTAGGCTAGTGCTCCGTTTTTTCTAAATACATTACAACATTGTAATTACTGTACTGTAACTACGGTGTAGGCCTACACATTTACGGGTTGAAAACATCTGTGATAGTCTTTTGTTTCTTTTTACGCAAACAGTCTGTCATTGCATTTTCTTGAATGTGTCTCAACATTAACACGTTGTTCAAGTCAAGTCCACGCTCTTCACACCAGCGAATCAAAGTGTTTGCAGCCAACATAGCTTCGTCACAGCTGATCGTGTATTTTGCCTCCACGGCCTCCTCAATTGTGTCGTCTTGTTCATTAGATATGACTTCCTGTACTATATCTTCATCTGTTAGGTCAGCACACAGGTTGTCGTCTAATACCCATCTTCTTAGGTCTTCTGAAGATTCTTGCGAAACGTTAATATCATCGCAAAGTGTTAGTGTGTCCTCCACAACTCCGTTGTCATCTTGACCATTGTCATTTCCATCGTTGTTATTTTGGAGGAGTGGGTTTTCTGGCCAAACATTTTTCCATGACTTAATTAGAGTTATTATAATCTAAGGCTTACCTTACGATCCAATTAATTTATTGTGGAGACCTAGGTTTCTACGCCGGAGCGTTATCGTCAGTCCTAGGCTAAGCTAAACTTTTTGTGTTTCATCTCTTACTTGAGATATTGTCGGTTGAGTAGGATATTTACAAATATAAACACTGATTATACATAAATATTTACAAAGACACAGTGGAGAGGTTAGATGCATGGCCATGATCTTGTCTGTCAATCCTAACCTCCAAAAGTTGAGATGTGATAAGGATGATTTTAGTGACTTCAAATTTTTTGTATGGTTGTTATCACTCCATAGAGTAATGTATTTTTGCGATTAGGTGTTTGATGATATTTCATTGAACTTTTTATTTTTTATTTCAATTAGTGAATCAAACATGATGTTTGAGGCAAAGTTTCTTTGGTCGTTTAGTATGAGGGATGGATCCGTTTTGGTAGCGTTATATATATGAAAATGCTCTATTGTATTTAATTTGTTGTTTTTTGGGGCTTTGTGTAGGATCTCTAAGTTAACATCTATTGAGGTATAAGAGTGGTTTTCTGAGATTAAATGTTCGGAATATGTTGATGAGCTGGTTGGATTCTTTTTGGGAAGATGTTCTTTGAAGCGTTGGTAGAAACTTCTGCCCGTTTGCCCAATATAGAATTTAGGGCAAGAGCCACAATTTAATTTGTAGACTCCCGTACCCTCAAAGTTGTCTGTAGTCGTTGGTTCCTTTTTGTTTAACAAGCTTCCGAGGTTGTTTGTTGATCTGTAAGCAACTTTGAGTCCTTGTTCTTCTAGGATTTTATGGAAGGAGTTGTTAATCTTTCCGTGGTAGGTTGAACACCGAAATCCTGAACAATGAAAAGAACAGACAAACTTCTAAAATATAAGAATACCACAGATATGCTGACGACATCATAGTTGCATTCCAAGGTAACAAAAGACAGCTCGAAGTCCTACTGAAATATATCAACACCATCCACCCAAAACTTAAGTTCACCCTAGAAATAGAATCTGAAAAATCCCTTAACTACCTAGACTTAACTATCACCAGAACGAAAAACAATTTCAGCTTCAACATATATAGAAAACCAACTACCACTGACCACGTAATTCACGCCCAATCAAACCACCCAACACAACATAAACTGGCAGCATTTCATAGTATGGTATATAGGCTCATAACTGTCCCACTTACTGAAGAGAATTACGTCTCAATGCCGGTTTCGTCGGCATTGTAAACTTGTTCAGGCGTAAGGCCTAGTTCAGTGATTTTAGCTTGAAGGGTCTCAATAAAGTTAGAAATTTCTGTCACATCGGCAGATAGTTTCTCTCCACTCATCTGTAAGAAACGAATACCGTGTCGCTTTTTGAAATTTTCAAACCAGCCATCGCTGGCACGAAAATCATCTTTTTTGATGATTTCACGATAAAAAAACCGTGCTTTCTCTTTTAAAATATCCCCAGAAATCGGGGCATGTCTGTTTCTTTGCTGTTTAAACCACGCATAAAGAGCTTCCTCAACTTGGGGATATTCGCTCATTTTAAGTGTTTTTCTCTTAGAATCGTCTTCAACACATTTTATAAAATGTTCTATTTTTTCCCTATTTTTCACAATGTCATAAACGGTAGGTCGCCCGATGTCATAAACCTTAGAAATAGCCGTGGGAGTTTCACCACGGTCATACCTCTTAATAATTTCCCATTTTTCGGGAAGAGTTAATGTTTTATGCTTACGTTTATTGGTTCCACTTGTGCTCGCCATCACACAACACTTAACAAAACTCTAACACTAAAAACACTGAAGGTAAACTGTCACTTGATCACCAAAAGTACAGTACGTATGCACGAGTCACTTCGCTACTGAACACTGGAACCAGCTACCGGAAACACGTGAGACGCCTAGACCGATGTCAGTCTAGACAGCTGTCTACTGTAGTTTGCCGCAGCGTCGGACTACCGAGCGTGTCGGACTGTTAAGTGTCGGACTTTCGAGAGCCAACTGTACTACAAGTAGAATCAGACAAGCACAGGGAGGCCATTATACAGCTTAGGTCAAAATTAAGAGAACCCTCTCCTGCCTACCTCCAGCCTCAATCTGGGAAAGTGGAGCTGCTGGCGACCGTGGGAGACAACGATGATGTCTACACGGCCGCGGGAAATGTTCATGATTTTGCCGTGATCGCGGACGACGACGATGACGTTTCCGTGACCGCAGGAGATGACGATGACATTTCCGTGACCGCGGGAGACGACGGTGATGTCTAAACAGCCGCGGGAAATGTTCATGATTTTGCCGCGATCCCGGACGACGACGATGACGTTTCCGTGACCGCGGGAGATGACGATGATGTCTACACGGCCGCGGGAAATGTTCATGATTTTGCCGCGCGGACGACAACGATCATGTTTCTGTAACCGCTGCAGTCAATGATGATGTCTAAACGTACGGTATGCGGAAGATTTCATGATAAAAAAACAACCAAATTTGCTTGTTAGAATTTTTTATTGCTGCATTATTTCTTTACTTGAAAACTCCTCATTATCATAATACTACTTTAGGACAAAGACAGGGGTTGGTGTACAGTAGTATTATTTAGTAATTTTGGTTAAGCTATAAAAATTGGTATCGGTATCAAGAATCGAGAATCGATACATTTTGGTATCAACGCCCACTAATTGTTGAAAAAACTAGTCTTGAAAAATCTGGAATTAGTCTTGAAAAGTCTGGAATTAGTCTTGAATTTTATAATGGAAATAAACTAGACACCCTGAGTATTACGCCCAAAGTCCTGGCAGTGTGGCTCATCTTCAACTTATCTTGGTACCGTCTTTCAATGTATAACTGATGGACCTATTAATTGTAATCTTGTATTACTCAATGGTGAATAAACTTCTTGATTCTTGGGATTTTGAGTAATGTGATTGATAAGATCTTCTATTTGTTACTGTATAAAGCTAATTATATACAATGAATTGAGTACAATGAATTTAAATACAATGAATTATAATGTGGAATTACCATGGCAAATCCGGATAGAAGGGCTGATGTTTTGCTAGAGGCCTGCAGTTTTGCTCTGCTAAGTTGCAACTTGCGCCATGACAGGTAACTCGGCGAGTTGAGAGTCTCGCCTGAATTGGACATCTGTAACATTAAATAAATTATTGTGTGCTACTAGGCTTACTCTTAACAACTTCCAGAGAACCTCTATTATTATATCTGTCTAATGGTATTTTGTACTCATACAAATAAGAAATTTTAAGTAATTAGACTACTTTAATATGGTTAATCTACAGGGTGAGTTTGTAGTCCCTTCCCCCTACCGTTTTTTAAAAGTTAGAATGTTAAGCTCATCTTTGTTGGACCTAAATATCTTGTTTTTCATGGGTTCATTGAATCTCCACTTCCAACGGGGGACGGTTGACGAGGAGTAAGCCGAGATTCTTAAATGTAAGAATAGGTTGACATGTTCATCAAATTAAAGGTATTGTTGAGCTAAAACCAATGCCGCAAACTGGACCTCAAATGGACAATCGAGTAAAAAATTACAGCTGTTCAAAGATTCATTGAATTTGCATTGTTATACGCTACCTCCAAAGGGGCGGTAGAAGGCAGAAGAAAATCATAAACGAAAGCATCGATCGATATGCACATCAAATTAACGGTATTTATTAGTAGAGCGTAATGCCGCAAATTTGAGCTCAAAAGAACAACTGAGTAAAAAATGGCAGCTGTTAAAAGATTCAAAATGGCAGATTCAAGAAATGCCTTTTGTGGTTGAGAGTCAACGAACCCATGAAAAACAAGTTCTAACAAAGATGTGCGGAGTTGAAACATTCTAACTTACACTGTTTAAAAAAAATTAGAGGGGAAGGGACTTCAAACTCAATCTGTATAACTCAGGTTAATTCGGGTCAAGATTGGCCGCAAAATTTAAAGATAAGACTGTGCATTGGGAAATCAACAAGAAAATAACAAATCGGTAGTTATAAGTTAGCCGCGATCTCGTATCAAAAATAAAAATAAGAATCTTAATTCCCTTTAAACATTTTACAGTGCAAAAGGGTTCGTAATTTGCTACATAATATTAAAATGTAATTTAATATTTCACATAATATAGGCCTAGTAACAAAGGTAATTTAATCAAATAAGTTAAGACGACAAGCTGTCCTGGTTCTAATCTAAAATCTAGTCTACTAATGGCAGGTACATAGTGAAACATAAGGCAAAAAAATATGGGCAAAATACAATTCAAAAGAGAACGAGTACATAGAAACAATACTATTATGACAGGATGATAAAAATAGATTTTGAAACAAATTAACAAAGGTTGATAAAAATAATACTATATCAAAATGGTTAACTTTAGAAACAAGTTTACTAAATAAATATGACTAGAATGGCACAAAAAACTGAACAAGTTGGGGTCATTGTGTTTGCTTTTAAAACATCAGATTTGAAATATCACTTTTAAAAAACTCATCTAGTTTGTAAAAAGGATGGCTAACCGTCTGTACATAGTGGTCTTTATAATTAACATGGTGAGAAGTGTAATTTAGTTTGTTGAAAAGTGAAAGTTGAAAGGTACCTATGAATTCAAAAGAATTTTTCACCTAACTTAGTCTAGCAAAAGTAACATGAGACACAGTGAGAGCTTCTAGTATTGTATGAGTGAACGTTTTCATTTAAAACTGAACTACCGAATTTTCTTTCAACATGCAACAAACATAGAAAGATTTACATATTTAAAACAGTTATATTTTACTATCAACAAAAAGAGGCCTACAGTGAGCTAGATAGGGTGCATTATTGACAAATCTAACAGCTCTCTTTTGCAAAATCAAAACATCATAGACATTACTGCCACTACCCCTATAAGAAGGCCATAGGTCATGACACTCTGGAATAGAGCAAAGTATACCATTTTAAGGTAACTAATTTCAACGCAATTTTTTAATTTCCTCAATAGGCAGATGACCCTTATTGACATTATTGATTTGGTGGTTCCAAGACAGTCTAGTATCAAGAGTGATACCTAGAAGGTTTAACAAACTTATACTTATTGTACTCAGAGCTCTTTATATAAAATAAGATTTTTTGTATTTTATCTAAATTTCGTAACAATAAATTTGATTTATACCATTCATAAGCTTCGTCAATCATGTGAATTAGCCTAATTTAAAATGTGTTTCATTAACATTGCATTTCATTAAAATGGGCACTCACTAGGAAAAATGGAGGATAGTCTAGATATTTTAAAGGATTGTAAGAAAGGATATGTAATGAATGCTTGGGAAGAATTGTATACCCATGTAGGATGTAGCACAGATGGTTGGGCCAACGTTGGTAAATTGTGGAGCCACACAGTTGGCCAACGGTAGAAATGTCACCTCTTTAAACTGTTTTCCAGCCAACCTTTGTCCAACAATGGCCCAACCAAAATTATTTCACACAAAATAATAAAGATTTAGTACGAAAAGCATAATTATTAGTTGAGTAAATTGATTAAATAGTTCATAAAAACAAATTTTGAAAAAAAGCTGGAACAAAATTTTTGGCCCAGACGGGTCTCGAACCCGGGTCCTTCGACTTATGAGCCTCTTACCTTACCACTGAGCTATCTGTGATTGTTGATTCAGAGAGTTTTAAAGTGGTGAAAGAGTAGCCGACAGTTGCAATGGTCGCAATACTTCAAACATTTTTGATACTACACAGTATAATATGATTCTGTTAATCTGTTAAGGCATTATAAGTAGTTATTTTTTTTTTTGGAGTTAGAGAGGATACTGGTATTTGAATATAGATTAATTAATTACCGTTAGATTATTAATGCTATTATAATTGACTGTTATATGATTAATTACTCTTTCCCCTTAAATTGTTGCAAATAAGTTAAAGAATATTAATTTTAAAAATATTTGCATTATTATAATTATTAAAATTCATTGTTGTAGCCCCGGAACTGTAATATATAAAATATCTGGTTTTACAATACCTTTATCAGTTCCAAAATTTTTGGAAACTTTTGGAACTGATAAAGGTATTGTAAAACCAGATATTTTATTATAATTATGTTGTGAAAGCTAGACCCAGAGAATGAAAGTCGTGTAAACTCAACTATGGACCATCGTTGGTCCAACAAAAGTATCTTTTGTTGGTCCAACGGAGTGAAAAACGGTTGGACAACGGTTGGCTTGATGTATGATACCCAACAATGCATATTAATGTATTTCATTAACAATGAACCGATGTTGGTCCACAGTTGTAAATATTGGTTGGCCCAACTACGAGATATACAGTTGGACAACGGTTGGTTGGTTGTGGAAGCTCCAACCAACCATCGACCAACTGTCCCACAGTTGGCCAACGTTGGCCCAACCATCTGTGCTACATGGGTATTTATAAGGAAAAATGTAAAGATAGAAATAAGTTGATTAATGAACAAATACATTTTGATTCCAGTTGTACTTATAAAAATGTATTGGCCGGTGCTTCCGGTAGCCAATAGGGTATAAGTAGGGACGCCATTCAAGATTCTTGTCATTCGCCTATTGGGTCTGATGATGATTGGAGTGTCCAATCGAAATCGATCACCACTTACCATCTTTTTTGTATATTTACTGTCTTGTGAGTAACAGTATAAGCGTAAATATATGTTTTAAGTGTTATAAGACGTTTCTTTTATTTCCTTTCCATTAACATTTGAACTTGAACCAAAAAAACTTACATCGTCTGCAAACATTACAGAACTATAGCTAACATTGTATTCCAGATCATTGATCATAATTAAAAACAAGAGAGGCCCAAGAACAGACCCCTGTGGTACACCGAGGTTAACCTCAGATAGTTGAGAAAATTTGCCGTTTGCAAAAACTTTTTTGTTCAACCGATTGCTGAGGTACGATTTGAAAAGAGAATTTTGAACACCAATTATGCCATAAAATTCAAGTTTTTTTCAAGAGGATGCCATGTTTTTCCAAGTAGGCCTATTTTCTTGGTGTAGTGGGGCAGGAATATGAAGGAAAGGTGTTGCGTGCCTAATCTGCTTTTTCCAATAGTGTCATAAATTATTAAACGACTAGTGTTTTTTCTGAGCCATAGCTTAACAGCTGCTGTATGAGTGTTATCAATTTAAAATAGTATTCAAATCTGATAAGTATGTCTCCTGCGATGGCAGGAAAATCGTCAACATCTCCTGTGATCATGGAAAAATTGTGGACACCTTCCACAGTCACGTATACACTATCATTGTCTTCTGCGACCTTGGCAAAGTCATGATCATCTCTGATGTTAGTTTTCAGACCATGGTGACCATTCCCATTCAGAAAAATTACCACGCCACCAATTAACGTACTATCTCAGAGTAATAATGAGGTACTATCTATGTTGATAAAACATGACCATTGGCATTATTTTGTAAATTGTAAGGGTGTGGGCCCCTTTGAGACATGCACCTATGTCAAAGTCAAAGTATTTTTTATTTCCAAAAAATATTTTTACAAATTTGATTAAAATGCAAAACTATTTCTTAGCATGTATCTTAAAAATACAAACGTCAAACTGGCCTGACGAAGGTAAAATATTTACTTAGACACATACTAAATTATCACAATTTAAATCTTAGCTACAACTTATTCTATATAGGTATGGAAATAAATTACTAACGTGCTAGGAAAAGATTTTCCTGTTCGCACATAGGAGTTTGCACGCAAGTATAAATACAAAGTGATTGAAATATAATATTAGCTAACATGAAATGACAACATAAATTAATTAATGGGCCATCTTGACAAATTCAAATACAATTCTTGTTTATAGAAAAATAGGACATAAAGGTTAACAAAAGACTGAATTAGTGAACACACGCTTGTGTTTGTGCTTGAAATGTTGTTGAAAATCTGAATATTCTGTCGGATTTAACACAAAAGACGGTAAAAGACTTAATTTTTGTATTTAATTGTTCTTGTCAGTAACAAGTTTGTGTCAATTTTCTTTTAAAATGCTGTAAATCATATTTCATTTCAAAAGACTTAACATGTAACAAAAATCTTATCTAACGGATATTTATATATATTATAAAAAAATAAGAAGCCCCTGCTACGGACTGAATATAATTTAAAATTTATAACCACAGAATCTCTTCG